TTTAGCAAATGGCTGCAATATAACAAAGAGTGAAAAATTTAAGGGGGTCTGAATACTTTCCGTACCCACTGTATATATATATATATATATATATCAAATGCACTCTTCATATAGATCTATATCTAGTAAATATTTGTATAATAGCTTTAATATAAATTATATTATTTTTATAGGACTTTAATATGAGCAACTGTACAATGAGTGCTATGCAGATCATTTCAATAGTTTATTTCTACCATACACAAACTGTACAACACAGCGCAGTACTGCTTATGAAATTTTAAAAGTGTAAGGAAATCCTGATATACAAACTACTCGAACTGAAAAAAACAAAAAACATTTTTAAAAACAAAAACAAACGAAATCATTTACAGTACTGTGTATTATACTATTCTTTTACACAAAAAAAAATCATATCACATTACAAAACATCAAATACAAAAAGGAAAAATTAATATTCCTCACAAAACTTCCTGAGCAAACAATCTGTGGTTTATAAATTAAAAATTAGGAATTACAAATAACTGAAACAGAATTAATCATGAATTATACAGTAATTTAGGATTTCATCAACAACAACAACAAAAAAAAGATTCGGTTTTATTGAGAATACAATTCATTATGCACATTTGGTTAGATAATAGTGTTTTATTCCATCTGAATGACCTGCAAAAACACAATTTTTGACATTATCAATGGACAACGTAAAACTAAGGTTAAACGCCTTCAGTGTGCTAATTAACCTGCACCGATCACGCATTTGTCAAAAATAAACACTAAATAACAGAATAAAAGTGCAAAAGGGTACGTTTAGTGTTAGAGAAAGCTTTAAAAGTGCTGCGACGAGGCCGTTTGTGATCGTAACACAGCAATAAGGTGACCTCGGCTGTGCATTTAAACACAAAATCAAGTGGTACAGATCCAGTCAAAATGGAAAGATTACTCTATTGCCGTTCTTTTGCTGTAAATTGTCAATTTTTCTATTTTAGTGGCTTGAAGACACGAAGTGCTTTGAGAAAATATCATCCATAAAACCTATTTGAGAGCCCACCGCTTGTCGCACAAAAGAAGCCAAAGGTTGAGGAGTTCAGTCTCACAGAAAGGAATAAAAACCGTATTGTGCCTGATCATAAAACACTTTTTTTTACAAGAATATCGTTACGTACTTAAAATGGCGTATAAACAAAGGTAAACCGAGTTTAGAGGCTTTTCATTCAGAAAATAAATATACTGCAGAATAAAATGAATCACCATTCACATAATACTGCTCTACCACAAAACATATCATATTCCATGTACTCATTTACATTTAGGCACATATATGCACACACGGATGTGCACACCAAAGGCATTTCATATGAACAGAAACGGAAATAATTTTGTGTGCGTGTGTGTGTATATGTGGATGATTTGATTTTTGCTCACTGTACAGTCGTTTGGAGAGTTAATCGGATAAAATATTTGTCTTTTTGCTCACTTGCATGAAAACAAATGATGTCATTTCAGTGGGGTACATTAACTACATTAAAAAATTAAGTCAGGGATGCATACAGTACGGCTCTAATAGACCAATAACAGCTGCTCACCAACAGGTGGCGCAAGTGGGCTATTCTTACATTTCACATCAGTTGTGAAGAAAAAGTCATCGTGATATATTTTGAACGACTAAAACTCCCAGTTATTGTACAACAAATGCAAAATAAAATTCACAATATGTAAGATTGGCCTTGCATTTTTGGAGTTGCAGCAAAAATTATAACAATAAATAAATAAATCAATAAATAAGATTACTGTGAGATAAATAGTACCGATGAATAGTAGCAATGATATAATAACACACAAAAGAACAATACGGAATAAAGTCACGCAAACCATAGGAAATAAATAAGTGCAAAAGGAGGTCAAATCTCACTAAAAGGAACACCGAGCTGTAAAAATGTGGCTGGTAATTTTCAGTGCAATGAATTTGTCATGGAATGGAGTTGTTGTTTTAAACGAGACATATCTTGCACAGATGACAAAGCCAGCCCTCTGCGGACAATCAAAGGGTTGTGAACGAGAGTTTGGCCTTATACGTTAATGCCCTTGATGGCCTGTCTGATGCTGTCCAGTAAGGCTTTACATTCGGGTGAATACTCCTGCTCTGAATTGTTGTACATATCCGTCAACGTGTTCACGTAGGCTTCGAAGTTCTGTTCGTTTATTGGACCCTGAAACACATTAAAGAACAATAAATTCAGTAACTCTAAAATGCATGTTTCATAATGTCTTTAAAATGCATTCATCCCTTACAAACATGCATGCACAATTTGAACTATAGTTTACCTTAAAATACCACAATAACTACAGTTATTGTTGCAACAGTAAAATCATATTAAATTCATTCCTGTAAATCATCATATTAAATAAATTTTTTAATACTTTATGTCTTTCAGTTCAAGCACATTTAATACAGTTATACAAATGAACATTTCCTTTAATCCTCATTTTTCCTTCTACTTTCTTTTCCCTCACTTTTTTTTCTCTTGTGATAATACCTATCACCAATGCATAAAGAAAAAAAATAATAATTAGAACAATAACCAAAACACTTTTTCATATTAAAAAAATCCACATATTCATATCAAACTCTTATAATGACACCTAATTCCTAATAAGAAATTCAAATAATAGTATTTAAGACGAATTAATTATAATATTAATTAAATAAATTAAAATAATTCATGAATCAATTAAAAGGGAGGTAGAATTATATAGAGGCAATTAGTATATGTATTCCTTTATTTTATAATGTATACTTTGATTTTAAAGGTGCCCATATCTTTTCAAAATGTATACTTTTACTCTTAAGTTCATACGTTATCCTCTCCATAGAGTTAAATCTAACCAATTATTTAAAACTGGGGATTCTTGCCTTCTCCAAAATTGTGTTATTGTTTTAAAAGCTGTAATTCTCAGTATTCTAAATAAATATAACTCATCTTTACTAAGTAGCGTAGGTCTTATACCCAAAACTCTATTTTGTACCTTTATTATATTTGATTTCTTAAAAATGTCTTCTATTACCTGAATTACTTCTGTCCACATTTTTTATTATTATTTTGCAAGTATAAAATATATGAGTATAATGGGCTTTAAGTTCACCGCAGCTTCTCCAACATGCTGAAAATAAATGATTATATTTGGAAGATATTTCTGGTGTTATAAAATATTGCATATTGATTTTCCAAGCATACTCTTGCCAATATGGAGATTGTGTAGTTCTTACATTTTCTTTTAAACTTTGATTCCAATCTCCTTCTGTTATTTTATTATCTAATTCAATTTCCCATTTTGTTTTAATATTATAGAAACCCGTATCCTTAATTTCTTTGAATATATTATGTATTTATTACATCATATTAAATTAAATTAGCCTGCAAACAACTCGTGTGGCTATTAAATTGTCTTGTAATAATGACAATAGTGGCTAATACCAAGTTACCACAGTTTTACTGTAGTAGCTACGGTACTTTGTTAGAAAATTCACTGTAAAATATCAAATGTGCAGCTGGTTCCTTAAGGAAACATTTATAGCTGATAAAATTGATTCAATTGGATTTGGCCATATTAAATATCTTTTTAATATTATTTTAGCTAATGCATTAACTAACATTAACAATGAGCATTTGATACAGTATTTATTAATCTTTGTTATCGCTATCATCTTTTCATTTTGTACATTTTGAAATTAACATTAACTGCTTTAGAATAATTTTATATTGTTAGTTTATGGTAATTAATGTAGTTAACTAATATTAACACAGGGGTTTTGTGGGTCAACCACAAATAAAGGCCTTAAAAAGGTCTTAATCAAAACAAAGTTCTATTAAATAAAATGTAATGTTGCATGCACTGCACTAAATAAATGAATAAATGCATACATACTGTCTTGTTACATTTACTTGAATTGCAATGTGAAGATAGTTGAAGTCTTGTTTTCTGAGAAATTTAACAAATTTAAGTGATTTTATTCTTAAAACAATAACAAATATATCTCAATAAGGTAAGAAAACTATCATTTTCTTTACTTCGTCTTAAACACATATTTGAAAAGTCTTAACTTGGCCTTCATAAAACCTGCAGAAACCTTAATGCCATATTTCTAAAGTATTATGTTACTTGAAAACCGTATTTTTTTTACAGTATAGTTAGTTACCGTGACCATTGATTTTTGTAAGGGACCTTATGCAGTGATCAAAAACTGTGTAATAACATTTGTTGACCGAGATCAGGTTATGTTTTACATGTTTATCAGAGCGTGTCGGTCGGTGTAAATGTTTCAGCCTGAGGTCCGTCTCACCATCTGCGGCAGCTGGATATCTGTGAGACTGTTGATAAGTGCTTGACTGAGATGCGCTAACTCCTTCAACAGACTGTCGTTGTGCTGCTCGATTATTTTATTCTCCTCCTCGATAGTCTTCAGGTTGCACTCCATAGATGAAATCTGTTTTAAAACAGGGAAAAACTTCAGCTCTGAAACTACATTACCCACAATGCTCAGCGTGTAAGAAGGTCAAATGAATGCATATCATGTTATTTACCTGAGTCTGGAGCTGCATCATGTCTGCTTCTATCTTCAGATTGGATTCATTTAGCTCCTTTATTTCGTGATCCAAGTGCTGCATGTCTTCACTGTTTTCGATACCTGATTGACAGAAGACAAGCCAGGCAATGTTAATCTCAACCATAGTGCTTGAGAAAGCTGCAGTAACTTTTGAAGCTCTTTATGTTTCTTCTTCTTCTTCTTATCGCACACTACAATGATAATATTAGTGTGTCAAACATTCAGCATTTAGCTTCATTTTATGCTCTTTTATCGTTTTTAAGCGCTTGAATTACTCACCGCTGCTGGTTTTGAGTTTGATGGTCATCATCTCTTCATCAGAGAGTTTCTTCTTGATACTCTGGGCGTTTAGTGGACATCCTGACAAACTGTCAAGGGACAAAACACAAAATCTACAGATCAATACTAGCAATTTAGAGTTTTTCTTTTTTTAACTACACAAATTATAATCTAGTTTCAGGTCATAAGTATAATATATGACCGTAATCAGCAACATTCACAGAATGTTTACATTTACAAATACTAACATTATTGGATACTGTAATGGTGGTCAAAAATTAATAAACACGAGATGTAAATTATGTTCAGAAGAAAATACATATTTTGCATAATGAATACTGCTATTTTTACTTATTTCTGAAGTCAACCTGTATATATTTGTGTAGTTGAATATTTATTTTGTATGTTTATGTGAAAAAATAAACAACAATAATAATCCACATATGTTAGCTTGATTGGAAATAATAGTAATAATATTGTAAATTTATTGGAATAATAATATAGTGAGTTCTGTATTGTGTGTATATATATTTACAGAACAAAATGCATATTTTGAATCATAAATACTTTTAAGTCAACATGTATATATTCGTGTATTTTAATATTCGTTTCGTATATTTATGTGAACATTTTTATATTATATAATGTATAGTGTTATTACATTATATATAATATACTAGAAATTTATTTAAAGTATATCACATTTCAATGTAATATAAGATAATATAATATATATGTACAACTCAGAAAGTTCACAGTGAATGTGTTCAGGTTGGGTCAAGAGGTCTCATTATACAGTAGATACAAGGTTTAACATCAGAACTGAAGTTCCAGGTTATCGTATAGTTTCCTCACCTCCTGTGTGTGACAAAGACGTTGTTGGCATGACCCAAGCCGTTGCAGCCGGGCAGAGGGCAGTGCGGAAGCTCCTGTTTACAGAGCTTCCAGGAGAAGGCGGATCCGTTCACAGAGCTCTCCTTCTGCAGCTTGGTGGCGATCGGGCAACTTCCTGCGCTGCGATGAGACGTGTATTTACCCGACACGTGGCCCTGACCGTCACAGCCTGCCACCGGGCACCTGGTACACGAGAAGGGAAATATATACTTACGATCGCATTAACAACAAAACAATGCACTCTGATTTCACTGAAGATTATGTGCATCCTGGTAAAGATATTTTCACTGTCCATGAACATAGTACATAAATTAAGACTTTTTCCCCCCAACAAATGATCAGTGAAAGTAGGATCATCAGCATCAGGAGATCTAACTAAATATTGTTTTTCCTATTCATTTCATGAGAAAAATGTGAGATATACAGCAAAATATGTTTTTGGTACTTAAAAACGAATATAAAATAGAATAAAATATTTCTCAGTTAATAATTAAAGCAGTTATATTACTAGTGAACTTTTTAGACCTAATTTATGCAGTGCACATATATAGATTTCAGAACTTTAAGGTTATTATAGCGCTTATAACTAAAACTGGAAATAAAAATAAAACCATCAAAAAACATTTTACTTGAAATAAAATAAACATTAACTGAAATAAAATAAAATATATAAAAAATGTTTTAATTCAGCTAGCTACCGAGGCAACATTTTAAACATTTTAATCTAGTTTAACTAAACGAAAACTAAAACAAAAATAAAAAAAGGAATAAAATCTATATAGGCATATGTAACCCTGGAGCACAAAACAGTCTCAAGTCGCTGGGGTATATTTGTAGCAATAGCCAAAAATACATTGTATGGGTCAAAATGATAGATTTTTCTTTTATGCCAAAAATCATTAGGATATTAAGTAAAGATCATGTTCCATAAAGATATTTTGTAAATTAAAACTTTAACTAAAATTAAATAAAAACTGAAAATGTAAAAAAATCTAATTGAAAAAAAACCCTATAACACTATATCAGCGATACTAAAACAATACTAGTTGGGGGGAACTAGGTCATAATCTGCATCACAAAGGTTGTTTGGTATAGATTTCTGGGTCACCATGCCAAAACCCACACAGATGTGACCCGACCCCTCGACCTGCTTAAATGAAACCCCCCGCGCAGCCCTCTTTTGTTGTCCTAAACTCAACAGAGTAACAGTGATTGCCAAAGATAATCTCTTATTTGAGACTGAACTAGTTTCAGAGCTTACAACGTAAACACAAACGAGCCCGTATACATTCGCTCGATAATTTGATGGCTAAAACTTCCGAGGGCCCACACCGCCGCCGCGACGCGTTTGTCATTACGCGAGTCCGTAAACACCCCCACCCCCAATTTGCCGAGTTGGAAGACTTTTCAAATACCATTAAGAAGATTAATCCTGTGAAATGCTGATTAAAAATGTATTTAAAGCAGAAAAAAGGGAAGGAATAATTCTATCGGCACAGGCGGACTTCGTCTGAAACGCACTCCAGTAAATAATTACGGGCAGGGAGGTTAACGTGCCGCCGATGGAAACAAGCCCTACCAAGTTGAAGACTAGAGTGCTGAGGAGTTGGCCAATTTATTTTGCTGCTCACTTTCCCCCTAGGTCAGTAATGGAATGACATAAATTGCACATAATTGTTGCGCGTCCTCCACAGGGGGGAAAAAGCACATGATTTGGAGGTGGCTGACCCTTTCCCTGATAGCCCATATTGGAAGAGGTGAGAGGTTATCTGGGATAGTACAAATAGCTTGTCTGCAGGCCTGTATGGGAAAGGTTGTTATGGCAGTTTTGGCTCTAATACGCTGACTAAAACAAGACAACATTATGTATGTAATGACTATGAAAAGTGACAAAAACTCAAAACAAAATCACTAAAACCTTGTGATTTAAATTTTATATTTTGAGTTTTTATTTAATGTTGGTTGAAATTTTAGTGTTTTTGTTGTGGATTTTTCTCATTTTTAGTAGTTTTTGTTGTGTGTTTGTGTGTGTGTATATATATATACAGTATATACACATAATACATTATATATTTTTGAAAAATCATTATTTTGCGGAAAAAAAAAACTGAATAGGAAAGCCCTGTCACTCTGGGTCAGACTTCGGATTTAAGGCTGGAATCAATTCAATGAAGTTTTTTTGTCCTCCATAGTATTATGTTTTTAAAAAGCAAACTGCTGCGTTAATTGTAATTAAATGAGATCTTACGGGAAAACGAGGAAAGAGTTTTGAGTTCCCTGAATTAAAAGGATGATATTTTTGAATGTTTTTTTCTAGGAAATGCAGTGCTACAAACATAAACTATCCTTCTATTTTTATTAAAACAAAACAAAACAAAAAATATGGATTTATATAATGATTTTTCATCTAGCTTTCAGGCATACAGTATTCCCTAAAACAACATTTTTGTTTTATTTACATGTGTTTTACTGTGAAAATAATTGTTTTAAAGGCTAGTTGTACAGGTTGTTTTGATTTTTAAAAAAAATAAAAAAATTATATGCATCCTTTATATGAAAATGAAATTTTCATTTTCATTTTTAATTATTTTATAGCACATATATTAAGTTTAAATGTTTTTTTTTTTTTTTTTTTTTCAAATTTCAAAAAATTAATTCCCAAAAATTTTTTCCATTAATGTTATGAGAAAAATTGTGGGATACAGTGAAAAAATGTTTTGAATGTAAAATATTTCTAACAGTTTTAGGTATTTTATTAACAAAGCACCATTTTTATAAAGATACAGACGTTTGATGCATTTAAACCTATGGTATGCTAGTTTAATTCAATTTAATTTGAAATTCATTTTATAATAGTTTTTAAAATGATCTAATAATTCTCACCACAAAAAATGAGACTTTTTTCCTATTAATTTTATGAGGAAAAATTCTGGGATATGGCAAATGATTGTTTTTTTTTTATTAAAATATTTCTCTGTGAATAATTTAACATTTTTACGCATATTAACAGATTACTATTTTATAGTGATGATACAATCATTTGATACATTTAAACCTAGCTACATTTCATACTAGGTTAATTTAATTTTTATTTAATTTTATAATAGATTTCAAACCTACCAAATAGTTCTCACCAAAAACACTATGACTTGTGCCTCTAATGCTTTAGAAAAAAATGAAAGCGTCACCATAAGCGTACTCCATTCATGGAAAGTGCATACTAGATTTCTATTAAATCTTTTATTTAATCAAATAAACAAGACATTTTGTGTAAAATGATGATACATTTAAGTGTAACGTAAAACCTTTCTGTTCAATCTAACTAAAAACAGCAAGCATTTGGTTGTCATTGTTTTGGTGGTGTCTTACTTCATCTCTGGCTCTTCTTTGTCCTCTTTGCTTGGCGTGAGCTTCAAGCTTCCTTTCCTGGCACGAGGGCACCCTGACAGACTGGGAAGGAACATGACATATGTGACGAACCTTTCAGAAGTTCAAGCGTGCAGACGTGTGTGTGGGAAAGATACGGCCGCTGCGTTTACTGCGTGATGTTTCAAGCTTTGACACCTGTCGTGTTGCCATTGAACAGGGGTCATTACCTCAACAGCCGTGAAATGCCACAAAGTATTTACTCTTTGGCAATTACCAAAAAATAACAAATAATAAATATTCATATTTACAAATTTAAATGATAAAATAAAAAAATTGTAATTTTTTAAAAATATATTTAAATTTTTTTTAAATACAGCTAAAATGTTTAGGTCATAATAATTTATTAAATATTTTAATAAATAAAATGCATTATAAATAAAAACAACGACAATAACAACAGTAACAACAACAATAATAAATATTTATAATTATAGTACAATTATTCCTGATGTCTAAAATCTATTAAAGTGTAACATCTAGAACTAGAACACACTGGTTTAAAAATGAGACATTGTGTTCTTATGAAAAGCATGACCATTTTTGTCATGCAGAAACATCAAAAACTGTCACTATGTTTTCATCTTTCATTGAAGTCTAAGATTATTTAATAGAGATGTCCTGTCTAATGAGGCTCACCTCCTATGAGATGCGTAGTTTCCTGTCACATGACCTGAACCGTCACAGCCAGGAGTTGGACACCTTTAAAATAAATAGAAATTTGTGTCAATGATACAATAACAACAGTAACAACAACAATAATAAATATTTATAATTATAGTACAATTATTATTATAGTTATTACTTATAATAATTTATAAAATACATAAATTTACATTATTTCTACACATTAATTCTATGTAATTTTAAAATCATTTCTTATTTTTATTGGATTGAAACTTTAGCTGATTCTTACCTGAGCTCTTGCGAATTAGCAGCCATTAGTGATTTCAGGGTCTTGTCAGCCAATGGGCAACCAGATACACTACAAAAATGAAAAAACAAAACAAAAACAATGTAGATATTATGTATATTTTTTCAAGGTTATTTTGCTGCTTGAAAAATAAAGATGGTGAAAAACATGCAGGGTTTTACCTTCTATGTGACGCATAATTTCCTGTCACATGACCACTACCATCACAACCTGGTGTCGGACAACTGCAAAGAGAAAAAAAGACCAGAATAATGACCAGATGCACACAGCCTATGATTTCTTGATCTACTATACATGCTCTAATTATTAACAGGGCCTTTATCATGCTCACGTGTGACCCAGAAACCCCAAAACAGCGGTTCAAATAATGTTATTACCTCATCAGCTCTTTCTTGTTGTCTCTTATGAGCATCTTGTTTTTTGCCATGCTTGCATCTCCATTGTACGCTTTATCCTCGAGAGACACCTTCTCCAGCTGATCCATCTACAAGACAAGGGACAGAAGGTCAAAACATTGTGCGACTTTCCAAGAAAAGACACGACGGTCACTTAAACAAATGGCATTCTGTGAGCACTCGTGCACTAATAGTCTGTGAGAGGTCTGATGCTGCTTAAGTATACTTAGTAAAACATATATCCATTTAAACTCCAATATAATCCCTCGTAGTATTTATGATGGGCATAAAACCTTTGGATTTACTTACTTTTTTTATAAGGTAAGTACCTTTGAGCACCAGATGTCAGAGGGCGAACCAGACAAACATACAACTGTCTGGGTTTGTTCTTTGACTCTAAAGAGAATGAAAAATTGTCGGCTTTTCAGGAACATTCTTCTGCAATTTCTTTTCAATTTTAGTGTCATAGCAGCACATCGCAAGAGACAGTGTGCCTAAGGTCGTGGCTGACTGAACCAGATAATTTAGATGAAGAAATAGAAACATAAGGGTTTTAAAGGAACACTCCACTATTTTTGAAAATAGGTTCATTTTCCAACTCCCCTAGAGTTAAACAGTTGAGTTTTACCGTTTTCGAATCCATTCAGCCGATCTCCAGGTCTGGCGGTAGCACTTTTAGCTGTAGCTTAGCATAGATCATTGAATCAGATTAGACCGTTAGCATCTCGCTCAAAAATAACCAAAGAGTTTCTATATTTTTCCTATTTAAAACTTGACTCTTCTGTAGTTACATCGTGTACTAAGGCCGACGGAAAATGAAAAGTTGCTATTTTCTAGGCTGATATGGCTAGGAACTATACTCTCATTTCGATGTAATAATCAAGGAACTTTGCTGCCGTACCATGGGTGCAGCAGGCGCAATGATATTACGCAGCGCCTGAAAATAGGCTAACTTCCGTCAACATAACCAACGTGACCAACTGCTTGCACAGGGAGCGTGCTGGGGACTATTTTAAGGCGCTGCCTAATATCATCAATAGCAACTTTTTATTTTCCGTCGGCCTTAGTACACGATGTAACTACAGAAGAGTCAAGTTTTAAATAGGAAAAATATAGAAACTCTTTGGTCATTTTTGAGTGAGATGCTAACGGTCTAATCAGATTCAATGATCTATGCTAAGCTAAGCTAAAAGTGCTACCGCCAGACCCG